CCCTTTGCATAATGGTTTAACCCTTATGCATAACCCTTATCATAAACCACTCCAGTGGCTTTTCTGTAGTAATGGCATCAAGTGTTTTCTTGTTGTGTGACCTCTGCTTTTGTTCCCTTCACCAGGAATGCTGTTCCCTTTCCCTTCCCAAAGCAGGCCCGTCTAGTTGTTTCTTCGGAGACCTTCCAGGCCATCTTGTTTAGATAGCCCACAGCATCCCTGGATGAGACTGATCACATTGCCTGATTTACCTCTTTCATCTTTGCTGTATTCCCAGCTTCTAGACAATACTTGGAGACATTTGGAAGCCCTCTAATACTTGGGAACATTAGATTGGAAGCCTTTGGTACAAAAAGATGAAGAATAAGTATAATCAGTAAATAATTGCATATATACTTCATATTTTATATTCTATAGCCAGTAGGTGGAATTTGATGGACAGTAATGACTGCCTTTTTCATTTTTGTGGGCCTGTGGAACTGTTAAAAATGTAAATTCTTGGGACCCACCACAAGCATACTGAGCCAGAGATTTTGAGGATGCTCCAGCCTGCCAAGTTACTGATGGATCCCTCCCCTCTGCCATGAGTGCAGGGTTCTGTCTATCCTAATCACCTCTGCATCCCCAGCTCAGAAACAGAGCCTGACCCAAAGGGGACAGGAAATACTTGTGGAATGCACTAATCCATCTTCGTCTTCCCACCCCGGACCTTGCACACCCACATTGAGGAAGAGAATAATGTGGTTCTGAGACAAGCGAGAAATAAATCTTCATGCTCTGCACAACCGACCTTGCTAAATACAGACTCCCGGCTCACCCAGTCCTCCTTTGCCCTCTGCAGCAGGAGAGGAAATTTCCAGTGCTGCTGGATGCTAATTTGTTCCTATCTGACTCTTGGGAGTCTGGGGAGAGAGAGAGAGATCAGAGGCAAGCTTGGTCCCCACACAAGCTTTCTGCCATCAGACCCTGGAGGAAGCCAGGGTGGAGCTAACTCCTCAGAGCCAGTGCTCTAAGTGGCGGCAATTGGGTGGGTTCTTACTGCTCACAGATGGGCCCCTTGTTCCCACGCCAACTATTGCTTTTGCCTTGAGAGGTTCCCAGCACAAGAGGGACTTTGTAAGGCTCTCAGCCTTGCTATTTTTGCCGACTTCCAGGCTTTGCTTCCTGTTCCCTCCAAAAATAAAAAATAAATAAAGACTAAAAAGTACAAACAAGGAAGGGTTATGGAGCCACTTGAAAAGACACCTGTGGCTCCCACCTCTGACCTTTGCCCTGGTCAGCACATGGCAGCGCCTTCAGTTAGATACAGTGATAACTGCAGGACCGGAAACTGGGGGGGGGGGGGCAACTGGGGTGCAAGCTCATTTTAGGAGGGAAGGAGGAGAAGCAGGAGGGGACTGGTACCCAAGGGTAGATCTGATCCCTCAGCTTCCAGCTGGAGGGCTTTGCTGGGCCTGGCCAGCTGCAGTGACTGGCCTGCTTTATAGGAGCAGGACCGGAAAGAGAGTCACACAAAGGAGGACCATGTGTAACATCCTGCAATGGAAGTGAACCTGTGTCACTGAACCCAGATCCCCACGGCGGCTCAGGGATCAAGTTCAGGCCTCCTGGTGCCATCATTTAATACCTGTTTGACCTTGGTGAGGTCAGCTGCTGGACTTAGAGTTTCAGCCTTGCAGTCACTGCTATGCTTTGATTTTTGTTTTCATTCCTATTTACACATTTTATTTTTTCCCCCAAGCTACCATAAATGTTGTTTTTCAGCTCTCTGAAAAAGGAAAATCAATTTCTACTTTAAGACACAGTTCACCTCTTTGGCTTTAAACCCATTTGCTGCCTTCTCTGATGCCGATCCCTAAATAATGCGATTTAGGCTTTAAACCCATAGAAATGGATTAACAGTGACGCCTCCTTCATAGGGTAGCTATGAATGCACTGTGTGTCCCTACAGGGAAGGGTGTGTGATATGCCTGGCCAGCCTCAGTGCCCTTTCATTGTCAGTAGCTTTTTATAATGTCACGGCAGCAGAATGGCCCTTGGGTTTCTGCCCTGACAGTCCCGGATCCAGTGCCTTCCAGCTGGGATTGATGTGAGCCTAAATTGCGGTGATATATGAAAACATGCTGTCCTTCATGAGTGGGGAATTGTTTTTCTTGCTAATGAAAAGCCTAGACCCAATTTGTGAAATATCTTTCACTTTGTCATTGTGTGAGCGAGTGTGTATGTGTGCGCGTGCGCACGTGTGAGATGGGGTGGAGGACAGGGAGGGCAAGGAAGGGAAGGAAGGGAGAGGAGAAGGAAGGGAGAGGAGGGAGGGGAAGGAAGGGAGGGAGAAAGTAAACATGCAGCTTAACAAATCATTATGAAGGGCACATCCGTGTCACTACCACCGAAGTCCAAAAGAAAAACATTTCTTACACTGCAGAGGCCCTGGATATGCTCTTCTCTGATCAACTCTCTTCTCAACCCCTAATTTCAGATATTTGCTGCTCTGTTTTTTCTTGTAGCTGTATTCTTGCATTTCCTTACAGTTTTCTGTTTCTTTTACCAGCTATGTCTATATCCCTAAATAATGTGATTTAGTTCTTGAACTTTCTACAAATGGAAATTCTCTTACTTCATCAGTGGTGTATTTGTGAAATGCATCCGTATTGTCGTGTGCACCTGTACTTGGCTCGTTTTTGTTGTTTATTTATTCTGCTGTCATTTATTTATTCATTCTGCTGTGAATGGTCGTCTGGCTTGTTTTGAGGGTTTTGGCCGTGTTAGTGGTATTCTTACGACTGTGTTTCCTGGCGCACACACATCTGTTCTCTAGGGTGTCTGCTGTGTGTGGATCTCCTGAGTTGCACAGTAGAGATACTTTCAGTTTTACTAATTACTGTGCTCCTGTTTCTTCAAGGTGATTGTTCCAAATTACCCTTTTCTTAGCGGTATACACAAGTTCTCATTGTTTTAAATGACTGTTAATAATCAAAGTTGATATTACTTTTTAGTTTTTGCTGCACTAATGGATATGTAAAGATATCTATGATATTGTGACCCGAGATGTTTTTAAATATCCTGGGGACTTTCTATAGATTTTGTTATTCCAACAAAACTCAGCATAAACTTAGCATATAAACCAGATAAATGTGTAGATTTAGTTCAAGACAGAACAGCCCTATTCCTACCAACCAACAGGTGCCTTGTATGCTACCCTCAAGGTACCTCCCCAGGCAGCCAAACTCAAAATCCACTGCTCTTGGTCTCTGCTGTTGGTCTGGCGTGATTTCGTATTTGATGATGTACACTTGCTGGTGCAAGAAGTTCAGACCTCAGACCGCTTCACCACGGAAATGGTAACCAGGAGCTTCATTGTGCCCTTTCTATGGCCCCAGAACTCCCTGTATAAAGGAACCTACTTGCTATCGCTTTCTCCACCTTAATTCCTTGACCATATATTTTACCTCTCCTGTCCCAGCTGAGATACTGAGAACAAACTGCAATGAAAATGACCCCTCCACCTCCCCAAAAAGGGACAGGAAACAGAAGCATAAACACATACAGTTAGAGTCGTTTCTGCAAAATTTAGTTAACTTGAAATTATAGAATCATGCTTAATTCTCCTGTGGGGCGAGAATTTTCTTCATAATTTGAGACCAGTGACAATTTTGCCTCTGGCAGACTTAAATGAGAAAAGTGGATGCTGGGATGCCAGACAACTGCATGAATGCACATCTGTGCCCATGGTCTTAATCAGCCTCTTTGTTTGTTCTTCTTTTTTCTTCTTGTGGCTGTAACAGCGCAGTGACACCTGCCCACGTGATGCAGTGACATTTGCACAGATCAAGGGCCACACGTGTTCTCATTTGAATTACAGTAAAGGAATCTGGTCTCTTTTTATATGGCCATGTGGAAGAAGATTGAACCCTTAGCATATAGTGACACTCAGGCTGAGTGTTCAAGTTTGAATTTTCCTTCCTGGCTACATTCATATGGATGCTTTTATATCTTCTGTGATACCCCTGGGTGTCAGAATGTTTTTTTCTATTGCCTTTCTTATGCACACTTTCACCCATTTCATTTTCAAATCAAAGAAAAGAAAGAGTAATTTTGTTTTGTTTTGTCTTTTTGAGGCAGGATCTCGGTGCAGATCAGGCTGGCCTTGAAGTCACTTTGTAGTCCAGCCTGGTCTCGAACTTGAAGCAATCCTCCTGCCTCAGCCTCCCAAATGCTAGGATTATAGGTGTGCACCACCACATCTAACTCAAGAGGATTTTTAAAAGCAAATAGTTATGAACTGATAAAACATTGATATAGATAAAGTGTGGCTGAAATTGTCCAGTAGATGCGTTTTCTTTGGTGTCCACAGTACAATTCAGATACCTTTGAGCTTTGTGGACGCTTGCTTTTTTTGCTTCAGCCCATCATTCTCTCTTGTTTCTCACAACATTGTTATGCATAAATTACATTCCTGGCCTTCTCAGAATGAGTCTCCCTTATTGAATTCCAAGACCTTTCCAGTTTGTTTTCCCTAGGAATGTTGTGTATGCAGGTTAGAATTCTCGAGTATGAGAGAATACATTACTCCTTTGTAGATGTTCACAGTTAAATGGGAAGTGTCACTGAACTGCATGAAAGATACATATGCTATGCATTTTTATAGAAAGAGGTTACAGGAAATTATCTGTACTCATAGCTGGGGATGACATAGGATGCTGGCCAGTAAATCTTACTAATTGACATCAGGGTCCAGTAGATTCTGTGTGTGACCATGGGGAATTTGCTTGGGGAGTTGACTGTGGTTCATATATTACCTTCTCATCATGGTCTTGGAGCCAAAGGATGTCTTAAGGATGAGCTATTTCAAGTGTCAGCTTGCCTTCTCAGTTCTTTCCTAGAATGGTTGAACGTGCCTCATTTAGACTGTACCTGCAACATTTGCCTGGTGATTGATACTAAAATTGGAAGGCTCTTTTCCTCTTTTAATAAAACTTTTTCTTTTTTCCATTTCTCAGCAGACATCTGGAATGATCACTCATTTCACACAGATCCAGATCTTCCGCCAGGCTGGAAAAGAATCAGCGATGTCGCTGGTACCTATTACTGGCACATCCCAACAGGAGCCACTCAATGGGAACGGCCTGTCTCCATCCCAGCAGATCTTCAGGGTTCTAGGAAAGGGTCTCTTAGTTCTGTAACGCCATCTCCCACCCCAGAGAATGAGGTAATATGGAATATCTTCTTACTAGAGTAGATATAACTTGTGGTTTCTCTTTAGACTAGTTGCTTCTGCCCCAACAGGTCATCGAGGTAAGCTTTTTAATTATGCATGTTGCATTTAAAATATCAGCAATGCTTCCTCTTGGTAAATAGTGTTAATATCCATCTTATGAGGATGTTTTCATTTTTAATGGGTTTGGTCTCTTGAAACACCGTCCTAGGTACAGAAAGTATGAGGGACTGATTAATGAGAAGTACTTAAGATTCCCTAGAGTCCCCACGGCAGTAATTTACCCTGTAGTGTACCATTTCATGGTGCTAGCTGAATAAAATATTTACATGTAGAAGAATGTGTCTTGGCCAGGCGTGTTATAATTACCATGTATATTATTAGCCATGGGTTCGTTTGCTAGCATGGAGAAGCATCTGTAAGAATAACCCTTGAGAGCTCTTGAATGCTTAGTGTCTATTTTAAAAGGACCTGTTTATTTAGCAGAAGTGACTTTATTTTAGAAATAATTAGCAGCATAAAATTGTACCATCCCTGAGGAAGAAATCTGGATGTTTAAACAAAGAACTGAGGCATTAAAACATTCCATTGTGGTATACATTAATATGAAGATTTCTGCAGTGAACCTTCATAAATCCTGATAACAGGATTTTCAAGAGAATTATAGTTGGGAAAACACAATTAAGTGACTTTTTTTTTTAATTTAAGAAAAGTAGTTTCTGTATTACCAAGGCATTTCTGCCTTTTTCTGATGATTTTTGGTTGTTCTTTAAAAATCCTCATTTTCCTTCACTTTGAGGCATGAAGTGCACTAGAGCTACGTCTGTAACCTACAGGGCTTCTGTATTTGCAACTGTTGCCACCCTCCTGCCTTTAAAAGTAGCTGGTGTCTTGTTCTAACCATTTGATGACTTCTCTTCTCTGGGAAGCAGAAGACCTATTGCCAATTTTCATTCCTGCTGTTACCCATCTCCACGTCACCTGCAGCCTTAGCCCTCCTTCTTTAGAGGTCAGAGAGCTGAACCCTCGTGGGTAGACCAGAACCTTGGTTGGTCTGAACTTTGCTGTGATCATCAAGCATGTGCTTCAGTACCACTGCACTGCATTCACAGGATTTTGATAATGTTTTATCAAAGCATAGTATTCCTACTCTCTTGGCAATTACCATGTAGTGATTGATTTATCTTGGGTTACATATGCTGGAGGATAAAGATGAACCAACATAGCCCCAGCTATGGAGGAGCTTGGCATGAAGGGGAATCTCATGCTGTGATAGCCCAGATGCATCCTTGGCTTCCTCCAGCTCCACAGAGGTCACAGGAGGGAAGCTGGTCAGGGCCAGCCTCTCTGCTCACTCCAGGAAGACTTTCTATCCTTATCTGGGCATTGCTTTTCTCAGTATCTCCATTAGGGTCTTTCTCCATCTAGAACTTTGTTCCCTTATCCTGACTCTTTAATTGTGTTCACCAAGTACCCTACGATTGGAGAATGCCAGGGTAGGAAAGGGTCACATGGTACCAGCTTTCATATGTTACCAACGGGGAAACTGAGTCATAGAAAAGTCAGTGACCAGAGGTGGCACTGACTCTGGATTCAAATTCACAAAACCTCCCCCAGAGTTTTCACTCAGCTTCTCTGCTTTGGGTCTTGGCCTACTGTTATCTCCCTTTGTCCCAGAGGTAGAGACTAGACTGACTTTGAGGCATAGTTCCTGTCCCAAGAGTCCTGAAGCAATACAAGGCATGGAGAGGTTAAGAAGCTTGCATTAGGTCACAGAGTGAATTCAGGTCTGCTGATCCCAACTTCTACTCCAAGCTTTGCAAAATTCATCAAGAAGCTTGGAGACTCTTGAATCTCTTCCTCTCCCTCCAAGGGAGGGCTGTGCAGTATGCAAAGCCTTCTAGAAAATGACTCCTCTTAATAACAGTGTCTCAGGTGCAAGTGACAGCTGAGGAGAAATGATTATTTCTCTAACACCATTTCTTTGATCCCTAAATAGAATCTATTTCAACTAATTTTGAAACATGAGAGAAAGCAAAATGTTAAGGATGAGAAGAAACATGTAATGTGTCATGTTAGCAATGTATATTTTATTCAATGTTTTCCTGAGCTGGCTTGAAAAAAAAAAATCAAGTAAATAATTGCCAAATCTGTTGACTTCACAAAACTTTAAGACTGAAGGCTTCCCTACACTTTGAAAATTTTATATTTCACATTCCAAAGTTCACTTGGGAAGTGTTAAGCGCAATTGGGTAATGTTTCCCCCGCACATGCCAGCAGTCTTTTTGAAAGTTTATAAACTGCCCAGGAAGCATTTGCTGCTGAAATTTGGCACACAGTAATTTCCCTTCCCCAACCGTTTATTTTTTCCAAATTACTTGGAAGAAAATAAAGAGCCACACAAAATATTTTTCTGAATAACTATTGACTTGTGGCAAAATTCTACAGTTTTTTCATGGGGAGATATTTTAGGGTTCCTCAAGAAGAAGTTACAGAGAAAAGTGGGTCTGGAGCTAGGACAGATGAGGCTGTCTCAAAACTGGGGTCTCCTCTTGGCATAAACGTCTCTGGTCTTGTCGAAGTGCTCTTGGCCTCTGTTCTCTGAGCAGCAACATCTCCAGGAGGAGCAGAACGCATGTGTGTCTGTGTTTCCTTAGACGTCAGACAACAACAGTGGAAAAGGTCATCCACTGAACTTTTGGACCCATTTAAGTAATCATGGTGTTTCAGAGATGGAGAGAGAACCTTGAAGAAGGGCCAGTAAACTCTATTTCCCAGCCTATGAGCTGGGAACGGTGGCCAGGAGGATTTTTAGGCCCTGTCGGGTCATGAGGCTGATCCTTTGGGAGAAGGGCCTTGGAATATGCCTTTACCATGAGCTTTTCCGGGGGTTTTATGCCAAGTATGACAGCATGATCCTCCAGAGAATCAAGTCTCCTTATTTTTAGTTATATATCACTTTGGTAAATTCTTTGGCCTTGCATCAGCATCTCCCAAAAACTATTACTTTCATCCCTATACTCTGGATGCCCCTTATGCTATCTCCTCCTCTCATGGTGTCATCACTCTGGGCATGTCAGCCTCCCTCCACAAGGCTCCATGGGAGTTGGGACCTGATGAGCGTCCCCCGCCCTCACATGGTTCCCGGTATGTGGTGAAGTGTGTGATGTGTGTGCCAAGTAAAGGAGCACATAACCAGGGGACCTGTTAATGGAGTTGCTGTAGTTGCTGAGCCAGCACCAGAGCCTCAGATCTCCTGCTGCTCACAGGGACTAATTTAATTGCACAAGCCTTTGCTAGTCTATTTGTCATTTCTTGTTGTTTTTTTTAATTCTCTTAAGTTGTGTTTGTATGATAGACCCTAATGCTGTACAGTGGTCCCCATTGTCTTCTAGGGATACAGTCGGAGATCCCTGAGTGTCTGCCTGAAATCCTAGATAGTACCAAAGCAGATTTGTACTGCATTAGCACAACAGGGCCTCGCAGGAGAGCCTCTAAGTTACTGACAGGTGGGGATTATATGCAGTATGCATTTGCTGGACAAAGGGATGACTCACTTCCCAGGAAGGGTGGTGAAGTATGGCATGAGATTTCACCATGCGACTCATAATGAGACACAATTAAAACATCTGGATTGCTTCTTTCTGTCATTTCCTATTTAATACTGTTGGATTGTAGTTGAGTGCAGGTTACTGAAACTCTAGAAAACAAAACCAGGGAGACTGCTGTATTCTTCTAATAATGTTGCATCTACCAAAAACACAGAGAGTATTTTAGAAAGAAGGAGAACATATACACACCTAACTATGTAAAGCACTCATTTGTGCTGCCTGCTTATTCCTGAGACTTCCATATTCCAGGTTTTATGCCATTTCTATCAAGGGCACACTTGTCCAGGCTCAAGTCTGGATGAAACAGGATGGAAAAGAATGATGCAGATGTTACATAAGCATCAGACTCCTCCTCCTGCATGGAGAGAAAGACCAGCTGATAATGACACTGTCCTTATCTGGCAGCCAGTTTGTGTACCAAGAGCTACCACTACCACCTTGCTGTGTTCCCACTCGGAGGGGAGGTTTTTTTGGCCCTGTTCCATATATGAAGGAACCGAGGCCACATAGCTGATGACAGCAGAGTTCCTGGGATCAGAACCCTGGCTTTACCTCAGGCTGTGCTTTGGGCTCCAGAGGTGCACACTGAGATGACGCGGTAATGCCTCTGCTCAGGCCACTGAAGAATATTCAAGTACTTTCTTCTCTTTCTACTTTTTCTCGGGTTCTGCCCTTCTCTTCCCACTTTGGTTTGCATCTTTATACCACTATACAGAGACTTTCTTAGTATCTTAAGAAAGTTTGTTTTGTGCTCCAATAGCAGACCACGACAGATACCAGATGGACAGCAATCCATAGACGCACAGTTCTCAAGGCTGTGAAGTCTAAGTTCAAGGGACACCATTGGCAGAGGCCTTCCTGATATGTCATTCTGTGAGCTGAGAGAAGAAAATGAACCACCATCCTCAGCCCTTGGTTAATTGGCGTTAATCCACTCATGGGGGCAGAAGCCCCATAATTCCCCATAGGTTCCAACTCCCTACACTGCTGTACCAAGAGTTGTTTCTAACACACTTTTTGGAGGGTCCATTCTTACCACAGCATACCCTAAAGAAAATTCCCTCACGAGGACTTCCCCGCCCCTGAGCCACCTCAGAAACCCTTCATGGGCATTGTCAAAGGACTGACTCTGATCTTAGCCTTTTTGGACAGAATAATATATCATTTTTGTAGGATTTGTGCCATTGCTTTCCGAGAACCCAGAGGAGAAATGTGGGAGAAGCAGTCCTCAGAAGCCCAGGTTATATGGGGACTTCCTGTAGTGGGTCTGCCCTGGCTGAGCCTTTGTGTGATGCTGCCAAGTGCCAAGAGGCACCATGTTCCAGGGAATGGGGCCGCCCGCCCCCCATGCCGGATACACTGCCTGTCAGGCGCCGAGGCTCCGGAGCTTTCCCACCACTGAGCTTGAGTAAGGGATGCCGCAACCTGGGCCAGGTCAGGACAAGCATGAGGAGACTGTGCCTGGGGACAGATATGGCACAGAGCATGGTTTGGCCATAAGGGGCTTTACCGTCAGCTCCTAGAAGGTCACCAGCTGAGGTTGTTGCCCACGATAGAGAGTCTCTGTCCACTGCTGCTCAGCTCCCTGGTCACGTCTTTTTGTACCTGAGACGTTATCCCTCCCACCTTTCTTTCCCACTTTCATTGCTTGCTCTTGAGCTCTTCCTTTACTGCTCCCACCCTACGACCAGGCCTGCAGGTGGGGGTGGCTGCACGCTTTCCATAGAACCTAAAAGAATCTCTTGTGGACTTTTTTCAATTTTTATTAGCTAGAATTACTAGCTAAATGTAAAATTATTCTCTCTTAAAAACAATTAGGGGGCTGGGGGTTTAGCTCAGTGGCATAAGCGCCTGCCTTGCAAGCAGGCAGTCGTGAGTTCGATCCCTGGTACCAATAAAAATAGAAAAATAAATAAATAAAAATAAAAACAATTAGATGACTAGACTGTGTAGCTTTAAAATTTAAGACACAACTGTTTTTGTCCTTTATTGACTTTACCAAAAAAAGAGGAAAAGATTATGGTCACTTATACTAAGGAGAAAAATTTTTCATCGTTGATATGAATGAATGTTCTTAGATATAGGAGGGGAAAAAGATCTGGAGCTCAGTCAAAACATGTGTAATGCCAGTTTCCATTTCTCCTTACTTAAGTTTTATAGTAAAACATTTCCCTAGGCCTGACCATGTTATTGTAAGGTTTCATAGAATCTCTGTGTAGGACCTTTGTTTATTTAAATCTGTAGAAGGTGATTGTTGGGAGGTGACCAGCTGACTCATGTTGTATAACATGAGAGCTGGCTTCGTGTAGTCCTGAAACTATAATCAGCTTTCACTTTACAGAGACTCCAGTATCCGAGAAGCAAATATATTGTGTGTGTGTGTGTGTGTGTGTGTGTGTGTGTGTGTGTGTGTGTGTAAAAATCACACATGCACACAGAGAGCTATTTTCATTAAGTATTGAAGCTTTTCTGGACTCTGGTTTTAGAAAATATTCCTTTTGAAGAAAAAAAAGGATAAAATGGAAATCAAGCTTTATAAATAAGGAGGGGAAGAGGGATTGAAAAGAAAAGAAGGGAATGGGGAAAAAAGAAGGAACTAAGATACATCATGTACAGGTACAGATACCCTGTGATGAATGTGATCATTATGTATATCAAAAATTGTACCAATAAGCTTAATTTAAAAATAGAAAGAAAATACTCCTTCCATCCTCTCCAGTTCCAACACAGAGTCCCTCTTGAATGATTCCTGATTTCAATTTTCTTTTTTAGACACCCTCCTTTTCTTTAATTTTTCTTTAAATGCTTCTATAAGCACAGTTATTACAAGTGTCCCTAATTCATTATCTCAGCCTTTTTTAGAGTTCAGCTTAAGCGAAACACAGCTGTGGCTCACCTGCAGTACAAGGGTGACAGTTTTGAGCCACACTACCTTATTTTCTGCTTTAGAAAGAAATTCTAACTTGATCATTTATTTGATATTCTAGGTACTGGATATTTTAGGTACTTATCGTGAATACTTATTAGAATCACAGTGGTGACTGTAAACCTTTTTTGTTTGTTTTTTGTTGTTGTTTTGGTCTCTGGGGCCTCTGAAAACACAATGGGCAACTTTCTGTAGAATAAGATGCATTTCTGAGACCCCACTGCCATGTCAGGGCTGGCAGGTCCTCTGAGCTTCCTACCTTCAACAGAGGCAGGACACTGCTTTGGGGGAGAGAGGAAGAAGTTGGGCAGCATTCCTACCCTCTTATTCTTTAGAATAGTTTATTTTAAGAAATAAATATGGTGATCTGAGTTCTTTTGTGTTTTGAACACTGCAGTTCAGGCGCCCCTGGCTGGGAGCAAGCCCCAGCTGTGTGGCAGTGATTTGGGCTGTCATCCGCCATGCTTTTGCCTCCCAAGTCTCACAGAATTGAGTAGATGCTTCTTTCCATATGGGATGTTGGAACTTCAGTTCATCAGCTCTTTTAGAAGTTTAAAACTTATATAAATGTGAATAAAAGTTCTAGGTCAGCATTTTCTTCTCATTTTTCAAAGAGCTTCAGTTGAAAAAGTTATTTACTTGAGAAGTTCCCTTTGTTGATTTTTTACTGAAGAAAAGATGCTTGTCTAAAACATTGGGAGAACATCCTTTTATTAATCTCATTTATTTTTGCAAGTATTAGATGAAAAATATCAGAATATTCCCTTGGTGTAAACAGAAAGAAAAGACAGCCTCTCTGTGTGTGGTTGGGCAGGAGGGTTTCTTTAGATGCAAAGAGCTATTGCAGGAACTTTCCTACAAGGCAAGGCTCCATGCTTTGTTTTGTGATTATGTTTAGGAAGTTAATTTGTTCCTAGATACTAATCTGTGAAGAGGTTTGTGTGACAAGATGGTGGAGTCAGAGAAATTTACCTCCAATTGCTTGGAACCATTTGGGTTAAATAAATTTCAGCAATATGTCAATGTCAGTCTCTATTTCTTACTAACCTTCTCTCCCTCTCATTGTCTTTTTTTTTTTTTTTTTTAAGTAACAGTAGCTTGTCCTTAGCCAGATTTTTGTACCCTTTGCAAAAGCATTCCCCTAGTTCCAACTAGCATGGTGTCATCCCTGATTTCATCCTCACCTCCAGAAAACTCTGGTGTTAGATTAAAGGGGGTGATGTGCCCCTGGAATTAGTATGCTAGGGATCCAATGCTTGAAAGCGTTTGGTTTGCTTTTCCAACCACATTTCACAAATCACTGTTTGCTTCTAATAATGTTGGGTCATTTGTTTTGGTAAGTAATGAAAGTACCATCTCCTCCTGCCCCATCTTGAGGTGATAACGTAGTCATAGAGAGAGTGAGCTAACAAGTTGCTGTTAGATTTGATTTGTTCCCTAACCCATCCTGTGAATATCAATGCTAACAACAGTGTCTTGTGTTTTTTTTTTCTTTTTTCCCTTTTTTTTCTGTTAAATCAATGTGCTTTTTCCCTATGTGAATAATTATATGTCTAGAAACAGCCATGGAGTGATTTTGCTGTTCTGAATGGGGGAAAGATTAATAGTGACATTTGGAAGGCAAGTATATTGTCAGATTTTAGATCATTTAATATCTCATTCCTTTCTGCATGGCTGTGGCTGTCTATTTTTCTCCTTCGTGAATATCATGCATTCTGCAGGGACGGAGTGATGGGGCTTCTTGTTCAGGGCGTGCAGCTCAACTTGTGTTGCCCTTTTTGATGTCTCCCATTGTGAATGGCTTGAAGCTGATAGCCCCAGGCCCCCTGTGGTTTTGTGAGAACAGGCGCTTGTGCACTGAATCAGCCTCCAGGCCTTTGCATGCCTTTTTCTGCCTAAGCTCCCACACACGCTCTGCCTCTGCTGGGGCCTTTTCTCCCCTTTGATATTTGAGGCAGTGGAAGGAGCCCCTTCCTTACTGTACATTAACAAGGATCTGTTTTCCTCTAGGATTTGCATGCAGCCACAGTTAACCCTGATCCCAGTTTAAAAGAATTTGAAGGAGCGACACTACGCTATGCGTCTTTGAAACTCAGGTAGGACGCTGGGCATGTCACCGAGTGTGTCGCTGTTGCTGTGCATATTAACCATAGAGCTCTAAGACCAGTTTTCTGTTTTTCATCCTAGAAATGCCCCTCATGCTGACGATGATGATTCTTGTAGTATCAACAGTGACCCAGAAGCCAAGGTTTGTAAGAATCATGCTTTCAACACCCAGGTTATTATATTCTCGCGTTGACGTAATGACTTTTGGATTATGGCCCAGTTTTTACAAACGTCAACCCAGAGCTACATAATATGTAATTAGCCCTTGATCCTCTGTCTTTCTTAATCTCCCAGATTTTAAGAAAATCCCTAAGCCAGGTTAATTGTGAGAGTATTTCTGTAACCATCAAGATAGCCTGTATCTCAATACATCAGTTCTTGGCAAGTGTAAAAATTAACATTGCTGCTCAAACAGGCAGACTTCAGGAGCTTTGGCATGAAGGTGGGCTGGATAGGCAGGTGTGAAACTCTGCTCTCTCCTCTGCTAGAGCACCCTTGGCAAGGTGAAATGGGTTTGCCAACCTGCGGTAAGCACAGGTTGGAGGTGCCATTTTAAGATAAAAAGCAAAGGTTAGCACCTGTGTTTTACTCCTGGGCTTGGTGAGAAACCATCATTGGCTTGAGACCAGTACAGTTGTCCACTGCCGTGTACTCAGATGGGCTCTTTGCATGGGGTTTAATACCAGTAGTCACCATCTTGAAATTATTAATTGTTTGAATTGAATTTGTGTTGTGTAACGAGTCCAGTGGGACAATGGAACAATATTGGTGGTGGGAGCCCTTGCTTGCAGGAAGTCCTGCCACCTTCCTGCTACCTCGGGTGGTTCTTGACTGCCTGACCCGTTGCCACCCTGCTAGGCCTCCCGTCCCCGTCACCACTGTGTGACCGCTGCTTTCCATCCCCACTAGGACCTCGCCATGCACTTGGGGATGTTTTGGGGCAAGTGTCCACCCTGTGGTATCCCTGGATGTGGAATAGCAGTGGGCAGACAGTCTGGACTGGCAGCAGTTGGAATATCCAGCAGAGCTTCTTAACTCTTCCCAGTCCAGGAACCAAGTGTGTCCCGACTGGACGTCAGAGTATGCTGCCGGGCACCTGTCGGTCATGGGTCAGGGTGATGGGCTCACAGGGAAAAGGGTTGCTGGTTCAGTTTCCTTATGCTGGTCCAGCAGGTGGTGCTTGTGTCCAATCACTGGAAGCCTGTGTACAGCAAGACATGCCAGCACCCTGCACCTGGGGGTTCATACTTGCTCTCCACACTCTGAAGAAGATAACATTAACTCTCAATGGGAAAGCACCTTAGCAGATCAAACAAGAAAATACAGAAGACGGGAAAACTTTGTGTTTTCCTTTTTTCCTGCCTTGTGAACAAGGAGCCCTTGGATTTTCATTTTGCATATTTTTTTCTCATTTACACAATATTTGTGGTTCTTGGTACTCACCAAGATGGAATGTCACTGTGCCCTCCTCTCCCTACGCCTGACTCCTGTGTCATATAGAGAAAGGAATCTTTCCTTACTGTACCATGGAGATTTGTTCTGAATCCCAGAGCAGATCTGTACCTCTGAACAAAAGAGCAGATGGGTTTGCTTACTGGCAAGTCAGTGGGGAACACCATACAGATTTGAAACCTTGGTGCCTTGGCTAGCAGTCGCCATCTTGCCACCTGTTCTCTGAGGCTCTCGGGGATCTCAGTGGCATCGCCATGCCTGGAGAGGATGACAGCTACTAATGGAGCCTTAGCATTTGCAACAAGGCCTTGGGCTGCTTGCTCACATGCAGGCCTTTCAAGCTACATTTTATGGCAAGGAATGGATGTAGTAAAACAGGAAGGCGGGCTGTGAATGATTTGCTTTGCTACCTGGTGTTTTACGAGGGCCCTCAGCAGAGGCAGGAGGAGGGGAAGAAGCAGCACTTCGGCCTGTTGCTGTGCTATCTGGGGAGCCCTGGTGGGAAACTGGCAAGAGCGGGGCAAGTGGCTGCAGGAGCCGGAAGTGATGAGTGACAGGAATAGGAGGGCTGCTCCTGAGGTCCTCGGGCCGGCACTGAGGCTCCTCTTCTTGCCTCCTGATAATGTGGCTTATCTGCCACCTTTCCCGTGCCAGTGCGTCTATTCCAGCACCGATTATGAATTTGTGCATATTAATAAGGAGGCTTTGTCATGAGTTGCCAATGCTGTGTCTAGATTTAAGGGAAAAAAGTGTGTGTTACATTATTTATGTTGAACCTTTCTCCATAGACTTACAAGAAGAAATCTTCTTTTTGGTAAAGTACAGAATATATTAGGCAATAATAAGTGTATCAGACTGGAACAATATAGAAAGAAAAGGAAAAATAGAGAAAAGGAAAAATACCTAGTTTTTCAGATCATAGGATTTTCAATAACAAAAGTTGATGTATAGATTGTTGCTGTTTTTGTTTTGTTTGGAGAGGGAGTAGGAATGGACCCTATGGATCACAGATGGTCCCCGACTTATAGCTTCTTAATGTGTAGTGGTGTGGAAGTGATATGTATTCAACAGGAAAATCAAATTTTGAAGTTCAATCGTTTTCCAAGCTGGTGAGATGCAGTGGGCTTGCGCCATCACTGCCCTGGGGGAGCAGGGAGCCCAGGCTACCAGTCAGCTCGGAGACACCGCGGACACCCATGCATGACTCGTTGTGGAAACTTGGGGTGGGGGGCACTTATGCCAGTGTAGACCACCTTTCTGCCCTGACCTGACCCAGAGATGAACTCCAGACTCTGTGAGTGGAGCCCATGGGCTTTTTCAGAGCATCCGTCAGTAATGCCATTGCAGCAAGGCTCCCGATACCCACTGGGCCTGGACTAGGAGAACACCAGAGCGTGGAGTGGGGAGAATTTGCTGGTGGTGGCTGACTGGGGTGTATGTGGCCGCTCCCCCTGTGGTGGTGGGGTCACAGAGGATTCTGGCTTTGGAGCTCCTCGCATGTTGGTCCCAGGACCCCAGGGGGGGGGGACACTGGGCAGGGCCCGGACAGAAGGTCAGGAAGGTCTTTCAGAGGTGCAGCATGGTGAGCTACTGTACTCTCATACTGAACCTTCCTCCCCTCCACCTGTTCCTCTGCCTTCCTTCATTCTCATCCCCAGGGCCTTTGCATGCTGCACCTGCTCTTAACACTGAACAACAACCCCGGCCCTAAAGTTTCCTCTTCTTGACGTTGTCTTTGAACAGTAAATTCCTTATGAAACTGTCTTAGTCACTTTTCTCGTCACTGGGACAAATACCTGACACCTACAACTTAAAGGAGGAGAGGCTTATTTTGCCGTCCAATTTTGGAATTTTCAGACTTTACATGCTTAGCTGAGTCCAAGGCCGGAACGGGGTAGGAAAGCTGCTCACATTATGGCAGACCAGAAGCAGAAAGGAAGGGAGGAGGCTGGGGAGACCTTCCACCGGTGCCTCACTGGCCCACCCCTCGCAGCAGGTCAGCTGCAGGTCAGCTGCAGAGCTCCCATAATGCAGTCACCTCCCACAAGCCCTGCCCCTGAGCTCATGAAGCTTTAGGGAACCTCCAGATCCAAAGTACAGTGCTCTGTGTTTCTGTTTCTTGGCCGTGCTTTCCTCTTAATTTTCTACATTTTTAAATGCAATTTTTATTTTGGAATAATTTTAGATTTATAAAAATGTTGCAAAGATAGTATTGGTTTCCTGCATCCTCTTTTCCCACTTCTTGGTGTTTTCTTACCGAACATTGAGCATTTACAATCACAACTGCAAGGGTTTGCAATTTAGTTGCACCCAGAATCATGGATCCAATTCTGTGACCAGAATGATGGGAAGAGATAAATTCGTGAACTGAGGCACCACTGTATATAAATTTATAAGGTACAAAGCGATTTCTTAATATTATATCACTTATAAAGTACCAAGTGATTTCTTACTATTATATCATTTATAATTAAAATATAATCAAAATGAAAAAATTAACATTGGTACAAAACTACCAACTAGTCATCTTATTCTTATTTCCAGCTTTCTTTCTCCTGTCCCTTTTTCTGTTCTAAGATCTAATCCAGGATACCTTTATTCCTTGTGCACTTTTAAATTTACAACTATCTGTTTGTAACCCTATTGTAACACTATTGTAACCCTAAATGTTTTTCTCTGATCATTTTTGTCTATTTTGTGTCACTTTCCCAAGGGGAAAACGCTTTAAATATTGCTGTATGTGCAAACCTCACATAATTGCCTCTGGTGCCTCACTGTTAAGGAGGTAACTCCTTACTCGGTGTGGGTAGCTTGCATTTTGAAATTCCCATTATTTTACTATTGGGTCCCTGGATTCATCCCACTTTAGTACTTTAGAATCTAGATTTAGTCCTTTTTTCTTTGCATGTGGTATATTGTTGGCCAAATGCATGATTACACTAAAATAAAATGGAATTGTAGAAAAGTTAATGTTTTGAAAAGCATATACCAATTCTTTCCTCTTTTGTGTAACTCTGCTGCAACTTCTGTAAAGGAGATATTCTGTCACCTGGTGGACAGTATTGAAAATTACATTGTAGAAAAACTGGCTACCTTTGATTTTGAATTTTAGAATTGGTATAGCTGGATGTAACATTAACAGTGAAAAACTGGGTCCTGGGCTTTCTCAGTTTGTGCACTGAAGGAGTATTTTCTGAGCTTGTGACCACCAACCTGTTATTGTTTTTCTTTTGGTGCATACAGAATCATTTTCATGATACTTGCAAGAAGTGGGTTTTAGAACATTTTCTTTGAAATATACAGTAAAAGAAATGGGTGAGAAAGCTTATGCCATCTCAGCTGTCACATTCGCTGGGTTTCAAGTGCACATGTCATATTAGGAGCCACTTCTGGTTCTGAGAGGTTTTAGGATTGCAGATGGAATGTAGCATCCTCATCTATAGGGTCCAGGAATGACATGGCTCTCTCTGATCTACATGCAAGTCTGAAGAAGAAAAGAAACTGAGTCTTGAACCAGGGCAGCAGAGAAACTCCCAAACACACTGCACAGCCGCTGTGTGCTGGTCAGGCACTTACCTGCAGTTCTCTTGCAAACACAAAGCATCACAATTACCTTCCCATAGATAAGAAACTGATATTTTGAAGAGATCAAATGATTTATTTTGTCACACAGTATGATAAACCAGTAAC